GTATGGGGCTGTCCCTGCGCCTCGCTTTCTCTATCTCTATACTTTTTAATCCTATCCTTTGATCCCTCCTTACCCCAATCCCTCGTGAGCTACTTTTAAGGTGTCCTCCCCCTGAGAGACAGTTATTACGTTTATAGCCTTTTTTCTTTTGCTTTCGTTCTCGCTCGCTAGGACACAATATGGTTCATTCTTGTTAGAATATCATGAAATAAGCATTCTCGGTAACTGTCCGTTTCGATGCAAATATCTTGTTTTCTTTTTTCATCAAATCGAAAATCCCTTTTAAACGCTAGACAAAAGCTATTAACACGGGCAATACACCGGCCACACCAAACATGCGTGTCTAAGCGAATGCGTTGTAGGCCCTATACAAAACACATGTAAGAAAACACTTTTTATTCAGACACCGTTGAATTTTCTGAAGCAGTGACATAAGAGCCATGTGCAGTAGAAGTAGCTAAACTATGATGAAGTACTGCCCACATCAGGAGAAATTAAATTTTGTGTAATCTTGAAACCAAACAAACGTGTTCACCTGATTGTTTCATAGGGCTGTTAGAGGTGCTGCCGCGGGAGCTAAACCAACACCACCTAGAAGACCACCTAGGTGTTGGCTAAACACATCGAAGTCACTGTTTTCCTCTCACTCACATCAAAATAAGCAAGAGAGGTTCGGGACGGCTTTAAGCTCTCCCATAGTAGAGTACGTGGTGCTCTAAATCGTTAAACCCTTTGCTAAACACCATATATACATGCTGAAAAATAATTTGGAGGTGGTCAAGCGACTCACCACGGCCACCTCGATCGGGCGCGCGCGGCAGTGCTTCTAGGAACACCGCCACGCACGCCCGATCCTGGCATCTGTGGAGTCACTTCCATGCTGAATGGCACCGAAGGGCTCAGCTCACTTGTTCGGTTGTCCACTGCGGTCCTCTGGGTTGGTGTCGTCAGATGCCGAGGCTAGAACACTGCACTGGCTCGAGCTTGCCCGGAACCGGCCTGGTCCGTGAGCCAGGCCAGCTCGGGTAAAGTAGTTTTCACGGCGGGTTTGGGCCTCGGGTTTTGGGTTTGGGGCTGGGCCAGAGTTTGAGTTGGTGGGATCGGGCTTCGCTGTGATGTGTGCCCGAAAAAGGTGTATACTTCCCCGGTGCGATGTGGGCGCTAGATCACGGAGACGCTGGGGAACGTGCGAATAAGTGGGCACCTGCCGATATTCGGAGTTTCGTATAGGGCAAGAGAAAAAAGAAGATCAGACGGAGCTGGGCATTCGATGCAGTCGGGTGACCGGGCCCAAATGTCGACGCTCTGGGACGCCATCCACGAGTTGATGCTACGGGCTTCCCGTAGCCGCTGTCCTACTCCGCCTTCGACGCTTCCCTGCGGCGAGAAGTTGTTCGTCACCTCGTACAAGGTGTCGCCGAACTCTTTGAAGCCATCCCGCGTCGCCCGGTGCGTCCCACTCTCCGAGGGGTGAGCATCCATCCGCCGAGATTTACTTTAGCAAAGACCATTCGCTCGTCAGAAACTTGTCTAGTTATCTTTCTCTGTTTGCTGGGTTTTCTCTGTTTGTTTTGTACGTGTGCGTGTTCGTTTATTCATGTTTTGATAAAGTGTTGTTCGTAAACCAGCAAGAAGCCTCGTCCTTTGTTGGGACCATTGACGAGTCCCAACATTCTTTACGTAAAAACCCACACGTTATATCATTACAATGGCGTCCATGACAGGACACTGAAGTGATATAACGTGTGGTTTTCTAGCGCGCACAGCATACCGGGGCCCTACATCTTTTTCGGGCGCATATCACATTTGCCGAGGGTTGAGATAGTTTCAGATACATTGCGCATACATTCTGTATGTTACACGTATTGTTGCTCGTAAAAAATGTTTTATTTATCTGGAGGTATTATTATGGACAAGTACTGAACTTGTTTTCTAGGGTATGAGGCTTCTTGATAGACTAGAGAGAGAGAGAGGGAGAGAGAGAGCGCGCTTTTAATTGAAAAGCAGAGAATTTAGCCGGCGTGTGTATATCGCTGACTTGCTACTCTCCGTGGAGAAGAGGATTGAGGACTGAAAGACAAAAAGAGAAGAGGAAAAATAATAATAAAATTAAATCGAAACAAAAAAGTAAATATACAGACTTATTTTTTGTCTCTTGGGCGCGAACGTGTGCTGACAGAATGACTTATGACGAGTTTTCTAGGTGCCACTAGAGTTTGTTTAGCTGATCGGCATTGTCTAAATACGTGAATAAAAGTTTCATCGCATGCCTCTGTTGCGTGAAGCTGGAAAAAAGGCCCAAGACACAATAAACTAGCTGATAATGACCTTTGGGTAACAGATGCATGCAGTGTTCATAGAGCGCACGCTCATCGGATACGCTTGGTACTGAAACAAGATATGTTCTATAGTTTCTAAGGAGCCACAGTTACTTCAGTATGTACTTTCTACTTGACCGAAGCGGTACCGTAAGTTGTTTCCATAAGCACTGTTCAGCCGGAGATGATGGTAGAGAGTTTCCAGGTGTCGAGGGATTTTGGATAGGAGATAGGAGATGCGGGTCGATAGAGTGGAGGAAAGCATAATGATGCGTCTGGAGGTTCCAAAGCCTCTTCTGTTCTTCGGAAGCGAGCCTTTTGTCTTGCTCAGAAGCCTCTGATTTAGTGAAATAGGTTCGCCTGTAATTGCGGTTTTTCAGTACGTATGTTCATTTCATTGATGCCTCGAACACATGGTTTAACATCAAATGGTGAAAGTGTCCAGGGAGGAAATCTTCGAGGCATTAACGTCTTCGGCTGTCTAATAGCAGTAAGTTGCTGCATTTGCACAACTTGGCCGAATGCTGAAATGCTGTGAGTGAGATTTACGTGGTATAGAGAAAATGCTTTTTCCCGTGTATGACATGGCGGAAATGATTTCATTGATATATATGTGGGGTTTAATGTACCAAAACCACCATATGATTATGAGAGACACCGTAGTGGAGGGCTCCGGAAATTTCGACCACCTGGGGTTCTCTAACGTGCACCCAAATCGACATGGCGGAAATAAGTGCGCAATACTTTTTGAGTTCAGATGACATCTAGAGGAGGCATCCTGCTTCTGCTACAGTTTTCGAGGCTTATGAGCTCTTCGGAAGGCCTAAACAGATTCGTAGGCAAATGTTCCGTTCGGCTCATAAAGTTTTCTTGTTTGCTGATGATAATTGGTGAATCACCGGTAGGCAATAACGCAAGGTTCCTTCGATATACGCTTTCACAAGCAGGACCATTTACTGGCACTTACATCCCTGTCGTGTTACCGCCATGAATTTGAAGAGTTGTGATGCTGCCGCTATTCTCGCTCGAAATGTCTTCACCTGAGGAGAGCAGGAAATACTTATGTCGATTACTATTCCAAGAAATCGCTGAGACCGCGTACATAGGTCAGGGACCGGCCACCGAGAAGGAGCAGATACTTTATCATTTTGTTTCTCATGAAAGCGATGGATGTGCTCTTTACTGGAGAAAAGTGCATGCCCCGCGAAACCAAATGCGTGGAGAGGTTCTGTAAAGCTTTTTGAAGGCGTTGTTTGGTAACAAAACGTGAACTTGAAACCCTCCAGATACAGATACCATTGGCGTAAATTGTGATGTCCACTCCTCGCGGCAATATCCTTGTTATATGTATCAGGGCGATGTTGAAAAAGAGTGGACTGAGCACTGCATCCTGGGTTACGCCCTCAATATAATTGTCTTTATCACTGGCATTATTACTCGTGTCGATCTTATTGCAAGCGTCGGCGTCACTCCTCATAGCATCCACCATATCAAAAATAGCTCTGCAACGCACTTTCTTCACCTGGCTGCCACTCCACGTTGATTGTTGAATTCACGTGAGGGAAGATTGTGGGTGTGCTTGCCACTTAATTTCAGCCTGCCTACCCCCTGTGTAAAGACGCAGAAAACTTTATGCAGCCCCTAAAAACTTTTTCCCGCTTGTTTGCATCACGACCTGCGGTGAAGCAAGGTCTGTGTTGTGGACGGTCAACAAATGTAAGGACATCTGCTGAATAAGGTTAAGGAAAGGCCTGCAGCTGTTGGTAATGCTAAGTAATCTAGTCCAGAGCAGGACGACAGCTTCAGACATTATGTATAGTTTGCGGGCCTGCGAAGCAGGTAAATAGAATAACAAGGTCATTTGCAAAGGTACTGTGGTTGTGCGCTGTCCAGTGCCGTCGCTGGGTTGCACTCTGTTCTCTGCCCATTTATCGCGTTCTTTAGGTGCCATCGAAAGCTTGGAACCCTTCTCAGCTCTTCAAAAGCTTTTCTTTTTTTCCGTTTGCATTAGTTCCTCTTTTACCTGCCCCGTCACGAGATTGTTGTTGCAAGCGAACCCCTTGCTCCCAGAAACTTCCTACTACCCTCCTTCCCGCGCACTCCACATTGTCTGTAGATGCATGGCTGCCATCTGCAGTCGCCGCCTCGAAGGAGCCGCAGAACAGAGCAGGACGCCGTGCGCGTAAACGTAAAAGCAGCTCCAAAACATCCACGGGTCCTGGGGCTCCAGGGAGACCACATCTCTCCTCCTTGGGGGGTCAGCCTTCTTCCCTGCGCGCGAAACAACTTGAAACCGGTTTTCCAGGAGCCCACGGGGGCCCGCTGGATGGAAAGAAGAGTCAGGCAGGTAAGAAGCCCACCTGGGGAGGAGGAAATAAAAAATAACACCTGCACGACAGGTCCCGCCGTACACGAGGAAGCCATGCGCCGAGCCGAGATTCGAAGGAAGCCGCGCTGTTGTGTACTTCCAAAGCGTCACGCGCAGGGGCGCTGCCTGTTTCTCCCGCCATTTCGACGTCACAAACCACGTGAGAGAAAGAAGGCGATTCGCTACGGCCAAGTCTGCGAGCCGACACGCCGGGTCCTCCTGGAAATTTTGCGGAAAGGGAAACATTGGAGAGGGCAAAAAACGCGGCAACGTTACGTACTTGCGCGAGGCTGTGCGGCTTCCTCGCGAGTGGTCCCAGCTAGTGTGCGTAGCGCGCCTACGAGCGCACGGCTTCTATCTCGGTGCGTGTCGCGTGCTCTTCTCCGACAGCGCTGCGCCTCACCGAACGTTTGTGCGTTCTGCGCGTTCTTTTTAAAGAGCGCGAGGATTGTTTTCGAGCAAGTGGGACCGAGCTTCTGCCGCTCTTTCTTCGTTGATCTGTGTTCTCGAGGATTTTCCGTGCGGTGTTGCCACCTCCTAAGCAACCTGATCGAAACTGCTGCACCTGCCCGGCTGAGCTTCTACGGGAACTGCTCGTGGAGGGACTAGGACGGCGCGTTTTCTGCTTGTCAGTTGTGCTGTTGACTCGCTGTATCCTGAAGTTTCCACGATGAACCTAGGTGCCTCTGGATATGAGTCCCTTTGCGGCACAGCGCACCACTTTCGCTCAGCGACAGCCTCAGGTAAGCTGCTGGTGTTGCTGCATGAATTTGATGTAACCACTATCGCCCATCAAGAGCCAGGTTGCTTTCCAGGTTTTCCTTTTCTAAGTAAAATTATTGATGACACCAACTCTAACTTCTGTCCTCGCCAGAATGTGATGTGCCCCAAAGTAATAAAGTATGAGAATCACCACTCACTGAAGAGTTCCAATCCATAGGATGTAGTTTCTTATCTTAAACGGGTAGGAACCTGTAACTCAAGACGGAGAAGCCTCACTTCGTCTTGAGTTGGACTTCTTACGCGTTTAGTGCACCTGTGTACCACTCATCCCTTTTCCGCGTAAGGTTGGCCGAGTTTTTTCGGCGGTCACCTGTCTATGTCGAAAGTTACGGCTAGCGTTTTTCTAATGTGAACAGCGAGCTCTTTAAAATGTGGATGTAATGTAACTTCCTACGTATACTTTAGCTTTCTTCACTTGCTTGCCTTAAATGTATTTTCATGTTCACTGTATCTCTTGTGCGTGTGGTGCCGCAGGGTTCCTGTCAATATTTAACGCATTTTGTCTGCAGACGTACATACGTTCGAAGCCAAGCTTTCTAATGGCAGGTGATAACCGTACAGCCGCCCGGGTTAGGTGCTTCTCCTATGCCCGCGGGCGGCGTCTTGCCGCTGTGATGCCTACCTGTCCGGAAACCGGTTTTCGGCCCGGCAGTGGAGGGAAGCCGCTCCTCCGTCTCAGGTGGCATGTGACGGGTGGCCAGCGCTGTTTTTCGGCGCTTTGTATGCCCCTTGCTTTATATATCTGGTCCGTTCTTTGTGAAACCACGCTGTTAGTGCGTCAAAGCTGTTTTCGAAGACTAGCCCCACAACGTTCGTATAATTAACGCATTGTGGTCAGCGCAAACAACAAGTGTCGAGTCCTCAACCCCTGTAGATCAGCGTTGTTTAGTTCATTATTAGTCGGTTCTTAGAAAAAGCAAATTAATTGGGTAGTTGAGAACAAATAAAAGACTGATTGCTCGGTTCGCTCGATATTTCTACGTTCGCTGCGCTGTGCTTCTAATCGCTTTAATTTAACGAATGCTGTTATCGAGGTTGCTGTTATCATACCAGTCTCTCTCCCACACTGGCGTTACCGCAGTGCATGGTGTAGCTTCTGTCAAGAATTGCTCGGGGGTACTCTCCTCGGATATTTTATATCAACTGCATTGTGGCAATGAGTGTCCTATAAAATGAATGTCCTATATAATAAGCGCACCTCAAAAGGTATGAACGTTCCAGGGTACCCTTTTGCTGGGAATATCTTCTCGCTACTTCGACATGACGTGTATCTTTAAACGAAACTCTTTGACTGCATTGATGTGTTCCCGCGCGTCATCAGCGAGATAGGGAACGAAAGCTAGACCACTGAGACAGTTACAGTTGTCTGAGATATGATCATATTTATCCTTACGAACGGGTTGCAAAATACGTCGGCGTTTTCTTTATTATAGTATCGAACTTATTTAAGGAAGATGCATTAGGCAGCACAATAAAATGTCTGCTAGTTCAAGCTAATGCTGGTCTTTGATTGCCATGTTAAGCAGATATACCTTTACTTCTCGCGTTATTCTACAGCTTCGGCACGTGTTGTGCCAAAGATGAATCTCTTTTGGAAAGCCGACAGTCTTCGAAAGCTACAGCACGTGGTTGTCGGAGTCTTCCAGCTAAACACCTAAAAAGATGCATCAGCGCAACTTCCTAAAAAGCGAATAAAGAAAGTACGTTGGACTCGCCGTGATTGTTTAAAGGTTACAAGTGTTGCTCTGCTGAGCTCCAGGGCACGCTGGTACGATTCCCGACCACAGCGCCTACATATCGATGGGGGCGAAATGTAAAAACACCCGTGTACCTAGATCGAGGTGCATGCTACAAGGAACCCCGGTCAAACTTAATCAGGCGTCCCCGACTGTGCCCCGCCGCGATGGTCTATAGTGGCTATAAGGTACTCGGCTGCTGACCCGCGAGTCGCGGGATCGAATCCCGGCTGAGGCGGCTGCATTTTCGATGGAGGCGAACATGTTGTAGGCCCGTGTGCTCAGATTTGGGTGCACGTTAAAGAACCCCAGGTTGAAGTCCTCCACTACGGCCTCTCTCATAATCACATGGTGGTTTTGGGACGGTAAACCCCACATATCAATCATCAATCCCCGACTGTGGCACCTCTAAGATGGGAGGAGGAGGAGGGGGGGGGGCTCTCCATGGAAATATTTACATTTTATGTGTACATGCAGACGTGCATTCTTGGACACGCACGAATGTATGTACATAATGTGGGGGGCTCGGAAGCCTGACACCAATTGGCTATCCCCCCTGCCTCATAATAATATGGTGGCTTCGGCAGGTAAAAGCCACAACAAGAGAACATCGTTATTTAAAGAGCAAACGCCAATAATCCGAGTACACGAAAGCAAGCAAGGCTTAGCGATCAGGAAGGTCAGAAGTTTCAGGAGTTCGAGCAGTGCACCGGAATAAATGAGTTATGAAGGAAGGTGGTATAGACAAAAATACACGTGGCAATAGTTCATGCTGTCATTTGCTTATCGTGTCCAAAGGGGCGACAACCTCGTTGTCGACACTTCTGAGCCGATGTGTAGTGAGTGAGTGACGTCAACGAAGCGATTTCCCTGCCGGTTGCTGCTTTGGCCGGTGTCGGAAGCAGCAGCAGGTGGCCCGCGTTGCCGACAGCAGCTGCGTTGCCTGCTGCATTGTGTTTCCACTGGCGTCATGGACGAGTAGTCGTTGGCTGGCCCTTTACACGCCGGTGACTCATGTCCTGTACGCACGAGAGCTGTGCACACGCATACACTCGATAGCAAAGTGCAGATGCTGCCGTGGAAGCGCGTTGCGGAGCGGAGGCGCAACCTTGGCGAGGATTTCATTTCACGGATTCATTCGGGTCGTTTACGTCACCTTAGCGAGCGCAAATTGTTTTTTGTCTGTCCACTTAGTCACTGCGAAAAGGCTCAACGCGTAATTTTCATCGCCTTAATGACCGCCGGCCTCACGTCCGTGTGCGCGCCGATTTCATTATTCGTTCGCTCGCATTCGAGCGTGAGGGGAGCTGCACAAGGGGCCATATGGTCCAGCGACTCATAATTTCTTGTAATTTTCCGATAAGCGATAGCGCCGTATCGGCGGCATTGGATTTAATAAACCAACACTCCAACAATTGTTTTGTTTTAATCAAATGTATCGTTTCCTACTGACCCGCCGGTCGCGGGATCGAATCCCAGCTGCGGTGGCTGCATTTTTGGTGGAGGCGAAAATGCTAGCCCGTGTGCTCATATTTGGGTTTACGGAAATTTCGACCAGATGGTCGAAATTTCCGGAGCTTTCTACTACGGCGTTTCTCAACCTCATGGTGGTTTTGGCACGTTAAACCCCACATCTCATCATCAAATACATCGTTTCGAAATGCAGCCCCAGATTTTGCCAGTCTCGTATACAGCTGACCACAAAACATCGCGGTACACAACACGTCAATTTCCAGTAATTTCTGGTGACTTAATATTAATAACTTGGATTCGTAACAATACCATGCTATGATTATGAGGCGCTGAGGTATATTGAAAGCGTACGCGCACCCAGTGATCCAATAAAGGCGCGAGAAAAGGCCAGAGAGTATTTGCGTAGTGGCGGACATTGGATTAATTTCGCCTGTTTGGGGTTTCTTTACGCTCAACTGAATATATGCACGCGGGTCTTCTCTGCATTTCGCCCCCATCGAAACGCAGCATCAGCGGCCCGCAAAATATCCCACGCAATGGAGCTTAGCAGCGCGGGGTTAACATTATGGGGGACTGAACAAAACGTGTTGCTGGTCTATAGTTGATTCATTCTAGTAGCAAAACACACCGCTAACTTCTTACGGGACAAGGGACAAGCGCATGTCCTATGCCTCTCTCATTGCATCGCAAAAAAATGTTCGCTATGTTTTATAACTTAACAGAACGGGTGCCTCTCCCCCTTTCTCAAGCGAAGGGTAGCAGATATTCCTGACCTCGCCCTGCCCTCACTTTTACTTGTCTCGCTCACGCTCTCTATTCAGGTCACAAAACCCCGAACTTCGCATTGAAAGACAGGTAGTTGCACTTATTTATTTATTAAGAGTATTTATTGCCATATTTTAGCGCTTTTATTTTGCTGTTATTGTTTTTATCAAATCCTCTACTCCGCAAAACTTTGCGGACGACATGTCTTTTCGCTCAGAGTGCACCGATAGGTCAAGGCGCTTTTTTTTTTGGGGGGGGGGGGGGTGCTTAAAAGCTGCCTACCCGATATGCAATTCGCGATCATCATTACCATCATCACTTGCGGTTTGGCGGCAAACGAGCATTGTACACGCTGTGTTCAAGACTCGGTATTCAGCCTCAAATGTCAATTTCGGGGCAGCAATACGCCACCTTCTTTCGAGTGTCCCTTCGGAATTCGTGCTTGCCCAATTGTTTACTCTCATTCCATGACGAGCTTCTGTCGGCACACCGCCGGTTGCTTTCGCTGCTCCCGCTGGCATCGTCGGCGCGTCAGAAGCTCCCTCGGCACCTGTCGTAATCCAGTCCACCGTATGGATGACAACGCGAGTCGAAACAATGGACCGTCGCTGCTATCCGAGCCGCGCGCCTGCCAACGGAGCCGATGCATTCGCAGACACAACAGTGACGTCGGAGCTAGGCGCGACGACGTCGTCGACAAAATGCGCGGCTCACCTGCCCTTCGGAGGACGGCGCCGCGCTGTCAGGGGACGCTTGCTTGCCCCACGGCCGCGGTTTCCGACGCGGTGTCCACCTCAGCAACTGCTCACCACGTGATCGCGGAGTCGTATTGCGATATTGATAACGACGCGCTGCTGCGGAGATCGCTATGAACCGCTGCTTAGGCCAAGGTCGTAGGCACAAAACTTTCTTGGGGTGGGGAATCTTCTGGCTCTTTTTTTTTTGTAGGCGATGTTCCGTTCACACACAACACTCATACAAACCAT